TAAGGACATGCATCCAGCTCCAGTATCAGGTAAAAACATAGAAAGTAAAGATTTCCTTGTTTTGTTTTGGTTTGTTTTTTTTTTTTTTTTTTTTTTTTTTTTTTTTTTTTGGAAATGACCTTGACCTTTGATCTTGACCCAAAGGTCATAATCAGACTTAAAGATGTGAAAGTAGTTACAATTCTTAGTTTATAAGAGGCATAAAATAAATAATTCATTCCCCCCCCCCCTTCTTAAAAAAAAATCACATCAACAACAACGTAGAATATTTCTGTAAAATTCAAACCAGACCTCGGATCGACAACATATTTGGTACATATGTAGCATAGACCTCAGAGAAACTTTCTTGAGAGTTTTACGGTGAGTCTTATAAGTTTATAGAAGTCATGAAGTTTCACGGCAAGAACTACAAGTTCTGTTGTGTTTGAAATTAAAGTGCAGGTGGACGAAGAAATGATCTAAACCTTTTATCGGCTATTTCTTCAGATGTCGTTAGTAGCATTCGATTTTCCTGATATGATACGACATTTTAATACCAAGCATTCTCTCCTTCTTTTACATTTGGAATTTATTTGATTTTTATTTAGAATTAATCAGTTTCCAGAAATAGCGATTTTCGGTATATTAAAAACAATTCTCGCTTTCATTGTCGTGTTTCCCTTCTAAAAATGCATGTTGGGAGTTTAATTTGTGCTACACATATTTAATTTAACCCAAAGAAATGCTTATTTAAATGTTTCATATTTATTTCAGGATATTCAGTCAGAAATGTTAAAATCCGAACCCGATCTTTTAAGCTTACAACAAAGCTATTTTCAAAAAATTCAGCATGCTCACAATATCGATGAATCGGGCTACAGTCCATTAATACATTTTCATTAGGGAACAAGGGAACAGTGTTAACGTTTTCTCACGCACACCCGTCCCTTGTTATTTTATATACTGCTTGCAAGTTCAGGAACTATTTCCTTTTACGGAACTTCTTTATTCCCCTACCGATTCTAAAAATACGCTTGTATTTATTCTATAGTCTCAAACAATTAACTTACTCAATTTTATCGGAATGTGTAGCGCAGTGGTTAGAACACCTGCCTTTCAAACCAAGGGTTTTGAGTTCGATCCCAGGTGGAGGAGGATTTTTTTTTTTTTTTTTTTTTTTGCTTTTTTGGCATTTTTCTTTTTTTCGGCCTAAACGACACGAAAACACTTAAAAAGGTAGAAAGGCCTCTAATTGTTCTCTGAACAATTAGTTTACTTGTTATTATTAAGGTCTTTCGATATATATGATAAGATATGAATATGAAACTTGCTGAGGTGATAGAACATCAAATGTAGATATGTTGATCGACCATTATTTTCCGTCGTTCGTACTTCCAGTCGCAAACGGAAGTGAATTAAAAATGTTAAATTTGTAACTTTTTTGTTTTTCAATATTTTTCTCTGGGATTTACAGGGTTAATAGAGAGTCTTCTAAGAGTTCTAAGTCTGTTTTTATCATTTTGATTGATGCATTTGTTGCAAAGATATGTAATACAAAGATAGATTACATGATCAGTACGTACTGGTCCCTGCTGACAAAGCAGGTAACAACATTGTCTTTGTTTGTAAGACTCATTATATTAAATGTATTTTAGAGGAACTTGGATTTAATTCTACAAGTGGTAATCCAACTTATACTCATAGTTCCCTTTCTAAGGAAGAACTTCTTCAAAATCATATGTCAGTTTTGAATATTTTTAATATTCCAAACAACCAAAATGAATTCGAATTACCATATTTATATTGGATTCCGAAACTTCATAAATATCCTAACAAACAAAGATACATAGCGGGTTCCAGTATATGTTCAACCAAGCCTCTATCTTTACTCCTCACTAAGATATTAACAGTGGTGAAGGAGAAACTTCAAGAGTACTGTGCAACAATATATTCGAGAAGTGGTGTAAATCAGATGTGGATACTTAAAAATTCTAAGGAACTTTTGGAAAATTTGAAATCACAAGATTTTACCAAAATCAACAGCTTTAAAACTTACGACTTTTCAACTTTATACACAACCATTCCCCACGATAAATTAAAGTCCAGGCTTTTTGATATCATTGACAGCTGCTTTTTCAATAAAAATGGAACTCGTAAATATACTTACCTTGTCATTGGTCATTTGCAAAATTATTTTGTTAAAAAACATTCTGATTGTACACACAAGTACTCTGAAGTTGACATTAAAAAGATGCTTGAGTTTCTGATTGACAATATCTATGTGGTTTTTGGAGACCAGGTCTTCCAACAATCTATTGGAATTCCCATGGGTACCAATTGCGCCCCGTTATTAGCAGACCTTTTTTTGTATTCATATGAAGCAGAATTTGTCCAAAATCTTGTATGTGAAAAGAAGAAAACACTTGCTGTGGTCTTCAACTCGACATTTAGATATATCGACGACGTATTGTCAATTAACAATGGCTATTTCCATTCTTATGTCGATACGATATATCCTGGTGAACTTGAGATAAAAGATACCGCAGAGTCTGAAACATCTGTTTCATATTTGGATATTTTACTTGAAAACGATATTAATGGTAATCTAACAACCAAGCTTTATGATAAACGTGATGACTTTAACTTTTCAATCGTCAACTTCCCTTACTTATGCAGCAATATACCTTTATCACCTGCATACGGGGTATATATCTCTCAGTTGATTCGATACGCAAGAGCATGCTCTACGTATGTACAATTTCTAAAACGAGGTAAATTATTGACAAATAAGTTGATGAAACAAGAATATCAGCTGTCTCGTTTAAAGTCATCATTTCGTAAGTTCTATGGTCGATACAATGACCTTGTCAGCAAATACAATTTATCATTGAGTCAAATGCTGACTGACGTTTTTCATACTAATTGTTAGGCCATTACTTACACACTGAATTGTCGACGGATTTTTCCGTGATTTCCCGATCATGACAAGGAGCACACGGCGGAAGTGACCGGTCGGCAGGGGATGCTCACTCCTCCATGGCACCTGATCCCACCTCTGATGTTTGGAGGTCCGTGTTTGCTCTGCTCCTATTTTGTATTGTTTAATGGACTTTTGAGCTTGAATACTGTTCGTTATCTCCATATCTTTCATATGACCGCATTTATTGCAAAGATATGACCGATCCAAACTTTCTCGTATTGTTGCGGGTTCGAATCCTGCTGGGGCGGGAGATTGTTTCTCTCTTTTTTCAGTTGTAAATGATATTTTTCTCTGTGAAGACATGTGTGATAGTTTTTGCTTATTTTTTAAAGCTTTTTTAACAGAGATTCTACAGAAATCCTTTAATAATCATGATCTATGTTGAAAGACTGTGTTACATAAACGCAAACAAAAAATACCTTCAATAAAGTATTAAATGAAGTGAGGTAGCACAGCGATCTGGAGAAAAGTTCGGTCGGAAGACCACTTGTTGCCCTAGCAACAAGAAACGCATCTAGTTATTATTATTATTATTATTTTTCTTCCTGGGTACTTTTTTGTCCGTGAGCGATCTCCGAAACTACACATCCGATTGAGGTGAAACCTTTTTAGGGTTACTAGGCATGTTATGTAGATTTGCGGAACGAAGGTCATTTTGCGCGCACGCGCATGCACGTGCGTGCGCGTGCAATGCGTAAAATGACCAATATACTTGAAATAGCTGTAACTTTTATATTTTTTGATGAAATGCTTTGATACTCAGAATATAAGGATATATTAAAAGTATGAACAAGATGACATGGTCAACATGCACATGCATGCACGTGCGCGCACGCGCAAAGCGTAAAATGACCAATTTACTTGATATAGTTGTAACTTTGAAACTTTTTGATGAAATGCTTTGATACTCAAAATATTTGTATGTATTTAAAGTGTAGACAAGGCGACATGATCATCATGCATATGCATGCACGTGCGCGCGCGTGCAATGTGTTAAATGACCAATTTACTTAATATAGCCGTACTTTATATATTTTTTGATGAAAAGCTTTGATATTAAAAATATACAGATATATTAAAAGTGTAGACAAGATGATGTGGCCATCATGCACATGCATGCACATGCGCGCGCGTGCAATGTGTTTAATGACCAATATACTTAATATAGCCGTAACTTTTATATTTTTTTATGAAAAGCTTTGATACTAAGAATAAACAGACATATCATAAGTGTAGACAAAATGGCATGGTCATTATGAACATGCGCGTGCGCGCAATGCTAAGATGACCAATATACTTGATATAGCCGGAACTTATATATTTTTTGATGAAATGTTTTGATACTGAGAATATAAAGATGCATTTATAGTACAGACGGAATGATGTTGTCAACCTGCACATGCATGCACGTGCGCGCGCGTGAAATGCGTTAAATGACCAATATATTTAATTGCCTTATTTAATGAAGCTTGCAGGAAATAAGACACCAAAAGGGAGTTGGGGAGCGTTTGGGGAACATCTGTAACGGTCCCCGTTACAATTAATACTAGTTAGTTTCGTGATGGTGATAGAGTGTATATAATTATATAGACAAGTAAATAAATCTACTTTTTGAGTGTTTGCTGATTACCAGATTAACTATTCAGATGATCCCTGATTATTATGTATCTGTTGTTTTTAAGCAACATATCTTCATCTAACAATTTATTATGTTTTATTAAATAATTATTAAATTGTCATCCCATTGATTCTTTACAGGGTTGTATTTTACTCAGGTAACTATAAGGCCCTTGGACCTCTTCTTTTTATTGAATTTTGTTGTATTTTTACATTTACCAGTAAAACGTGTTTCGTGATTGCAATAATGATATTCGATATTCAGTTAATTGTACAGTTCTATGGCTCTTGAATAATATTCTGTTCTGGTGTAGATCGAATCAGGAGTTAAATGCAGTCGATAAAAATTCTGCATGCACATACTGCCTTTCACAAACAGCCGTTTGCTTTTGTTTTTATACATGTATGAGTGGTGAGTGTGTTGTAAGAAACAGACATCCTTTGCAAGGGAGTGCTCCGTTTTGCGTCGCCCTTGTTAATCACGTCAATATCAACACACTTCTTCTCGGATTTTTTTAGTGGATACCCATACCGTATTCATACCCAGGTACGTGTACAAATAAGTAAATCATATAAAATCAAGGTTACATCTAGAAAGAGAGGGGGCAAGGCAGGACGTATCTATTTATTGAGTGCATTTCATAATGAGTAAAACGTGACACTAGCAACATCATGTCCATTGTCAGCTTTTTCTGACACCAATGCGGCAAACTCTGTTTCTAAAATGAACAAAAATCAATTTGTTTAAAAAGTATTTTGTATTATTGATTTTCATTGTTAGTCCAAGCAGTTATCTTTTTTTTTCAAATAATTTAATATGACAAATAAAACGTGTGTGCGACCTACTATGCAAATATTTATGACATTTTCCGGAAAGCAATAGTTGCGCACTGCTTGTGATTATTACAGCTAGCGAGATAAACAGCGGTAGGTGCAATTTATACATTTCTGTTTTGAATGAGAGGGTTTTAATATCAAAGTACTGAAGGTACTGATAGGAGTTGATTTTAAGGACGATTTCAAATAAAAATTTTATGTTTTTAACCTTGTTTGCATCTTTTCAAATTATTTACAACATTATTGCTTCTTAATTTGGTATGCGAGTATCAAAAGACTAAAAAAAATGTCACGATATTAAGGAGTCAAAAAAGTAAGGCTTGTTTTGATTTGACCATAACTTTTGAATGATATGCAAAAACGTGTAAGACTTCTTCATTGCTCAAAATTTTTCAGTAATTTAAGTAATTTCAGTAATTTTCCTTACCAAAAATTTGTTTAAAAGTGCCAGAGTGACTTTTTTCGTCAGAATGTGATTCAAGTTGTTGATTCCCCTCCTATATATATATATATATATATATATATATATATATATATATATATATATATATATATATATATATATATATATATATATATATATATATATATATATATATATATATATATATATATATATATATATACAGTGGTGCCGCGTTTATCCGGACGCCATTTATCCGGACGCTTCACCATCCGGACGATATTTTTTGGGAACCGTTATTTTGTCTCATTTATCCGGAAATTCGCGTTCCGTATCCGGGCGGTCGATTTCTACTACAAAACGTAATACTTCATTGAAAAATGACTCGTTTATTCGGACGGTAATTTTCAAAAAAAAAAACTTTTTCACACTTATCACGAGTAGTGTTAATTGTTGTAAAAACATTGGCCATGCAGTCGGATTGAAGGCGGTTACCTGTGACCTACAAACAATAGTGTCTATAATTAGCGTGTGTTTATCCCAATTAAATCAACGTTTATTATGAAGCTCGAAGAATTTAGCTTACACTGTGAATTAATTAAATAAAAATCCGTTTAAAATCATATTGTTAACCGTATATACATCAGTAAATTCATGAGAATATTGAAGAATTGTAAATAAAATGAACAATAAATTATGAGCGATTTCGTAATGCTCTTTATCATATTAATTGCGTTAGTTTAAAATACGATTTTCCATTTCTAAAAACGTTACTAAATGCATTTAAAACACTTTTTTTCCCACAAGATAGTTTAGAATGGTACATAATTGAAGAAATATCTTTCTATTTAATGTACTACCGTCCTTAAACGTATATTACTTTAGAAAAATAATATTAAACTGGCGTTGGCATGGTTGGGTATAGAAGATGATTACGTTTTTCAAGGTATTTTTTAATGATCGAAATTCAAACTTAGCGTCTGCAGAAAAAAATATTGATAATCATGAAGATGGCTTGTGTTTACGTTGGATGTCTTCAATACTTTCACTGATTGCACGTGCCTGAGTTTGCTTGCAGTGCTCAGTTAATTTTATTAGTAACCCATGTAATGATAATACGGGGAATATACGGGGTTAACATTTGAACATTTTCAATGATGATGCTGAACAGTTTTGTCATATCATATGAGCTTCAATAATTATATGACGAAATAAAACAACAGCAGGTCAAAATTTGATCAGCCCATGAAGTCACATGCCAAAGAGAAGACGAATAAACTTCCCCATGTTTAAAACGTAGGTCTCAGCATAAAATTGCCTATCGTCCATTTTTTATTGTGTAAATTACATTTTAATATATTTTTTCTTTAATTAATTACTTCTTTTAAAACTATAAAATAAAAACAATAAACCAAAATATTAAAGTTTCTTTTCTTTGCCGTCAAATTTGATACAAGAATGTGCATATATACATGCTTGGAGAGTGTTTTTGAGAAGTGATTCACTTATCCGGACCATTCATTTATCCGGACGATTTCGTTGGGGACAGAGGCGTCCGGATAAACGAGGCGCCACTGTATATATATATAATCTTTGAATAAATGATTTTTAAATGTACGTTTAAATTTACATATAGAGAAATGGTGTATGTTTTGCTATTTTGCAAAGGCGCCATATTGTTTTCAATATGGCAGATTTTTGTTCAATGCATTATAAAAGAAAAAAAAAGCATAAATTAAAAAATATCCATTCGGAATAATTTCTTCCTTATTTGATTTTATCTTTTATTGTGTCCTGTATCGGAATGCAATCTTTCGTTTACAAAATGACGAAAAGTTGAAAGTTCATTTCAAGTTTGAAAATCTAAAGGGAAGCTTCATTACAACGAAATTCATGTAGAAAAAATGTGATGAAAGAGCTTACAAGGTCTTTATCAATCAAATTTATAAATATTTGTCATTTTCCGATTTCATCCTCATCTTGCGTGAAGTTGTCAAACTTGCAATTTCTGTTTCTAAGATACATGTAATCAGATGTTGTTTTCTTTTAAACTCAGTGAAAATCCCGTTTTAGACAGAATTCAGAAAAACTAAACAACACTCCCAGTGGGGAAAATGCAGGTTTTTTGTTATTACCTGAGAAAATATTGAACTTCATTATTGTCATACGATGAGGGATACGATCAAATAATTACTAATGTTTCATTATAAAAAGATTAATAATTTATTTATTTTTTTTGAAAAATATCACAAAAATAATGAATATTCATTGGCAACGATCACGTTGGCATTTATTCATGAATAAGGTGTACAACTTTAACCATGTGATGTACTCTGACCAAAGTTAAATCACGACAAATACCATCTATATTGGTGATGAGAAAATTAATACAGCAACATGTATACCAGAAATAGAGATTCTTCTCAAATTTATGCCCTCTTTCCAGATTGTATTGTTTGATAGATTTTTTGAGATCAATCACTGTCTGTTATGTTCACTTTTTTCATAGTGACTTGGATTCACAATATACATCTTCACTCTTGTAAAGGTGAAAAAGACTTACCAGATTTTCAAGTCTATTCCAATAGCTTATCTTTGATCTTACAATGTCGAAGTGTAGGGGAAATCTACCAAATTCAGATAGTACAGCAAAACTAGTTGCATATTTATGTACACCAAGTATTAATTTGCAAAATTTCAGTTTATCATAGAATGATTTGGATGACATCCTGTTTATTGTACCGCCAGGGAGGCTATTTTTTTTAGTAAATGGATTAAAATAAACCCAAATTTCATATGCATACAATAATTAAACTAGGGTTAATTGAATGACCAAAACTATGAACAGTGGTATGTCTAAATTTATTGAAACTATGAATTTTTTCTTCCTTTTTTTAATTAATTATTTGATTTATTTTTTTTATAAAGTTAATATACTTTGAGCAAAAGATAAGAGCATGAGAAATGATACACTTAGGTATTTGTATTTAGATACATTACATGACATAACAGTGTATTTACATATAAATAAATTTCGTTTGTTTATAAATTAAACCTTATTCCGTGGCATAATTCATTTTTAAATGTATCGGGTATCATTTTTATATTTTATTTTTACTTTTCGCTGGAATCTAACTAAGATTGCAGCGAGATGAAATATTTCATTACAGGTATATTAAACCTCAAAGCAACATATTTGGTCTTCGTTCGCAAATGTATACGAATCACACGGTTTTGTGTTAGAGGAAAATGGGCTATTTCAACACCCCACTCTGCTCCAAAAATACTTAATGTGCCCCAAATTAGCAAATTTCTAGATCCACTCCGAATTCCGTTCTATCAACAGTGAAATAATTGTTGAGACGATTACATGCACAGCATTAATATTCCTGCAAAAATAAAAATATTACACAAGCCATCTCAATTACACATCTAATAAAAATTAATCCTGTGTATACTATCAATAATTATCATTCCAGGCACAAAACTAAAAGGATGCTAAATTAAGTTTGTCAAGTAGGTCACGTCTGCTGCAGTTTGGAGATTTAGAACTTACACATGTTAGAGATACTGGAGGCACATAATGCCCGCTGTAATAATCAGTCTTGCTCGCTTATGTACAAAAGTCATAAACATTATAGGGTTTACATCAAATGCCTGTATCAATCTAATTTTGTGTTCTCTGTATATGACATGCATTTAAACGTATGTCTGATTATTAATCCCGTTATTATGGGACTCATATTGTCGAAGCATGGTGTTTATGCATTGTTATAATCACGCTTTCCCTTTTCCATGAAAATGACGTATCTAAGCTATTTTAGGAGCGAGTTTCCTATCTTAAAATTAGAATATATGTACTATTTTGTTATTCGCAATATCTGTAAATCTATTTTCTTACATAAATATTTAGGCCTGCCGTTTACTGAGATTATACATTGCATTTTTAAATCTTCACACCCTGCTCAATTTGTAGGTTAAAACTCTAATTTCAACCTTTCTCCGATTTTCACAACATCCTGCATTTAATCGAGGACACCCCCTTGGTAGCTGTTTGTCATTTGTATGTATTGATGCGCCTCTGGCGCGCTGACTATGAGGAGTTGATAAAATCAACTCCCAATAATGTGTTGGTGAAGTAAATATCATAATGATTTTAAATAAACAAGTTGCTGTCCTTTAAAAAAGGATTGCAATACGTGGACCATATGCATGTGTTTCCAATTCAAAGAAAACTTCTAGATTTAGTGATTCTACAAAGATGTAATTAAATTTATTTAATTTATTTACATGTATCTTGTAATTTT